GGGATGGGAGGGGAGGGGAGGGGAGGGGATGGGATGGGAGGGCATGGGATGGGATGGGATAGGATGCAGTGAGTGGAGTAGAGTGGATTGGAAATTATCAGAGCCCACCACAGGTAATACTGTTTCTTAAAACTTCTGTTCAGATCTTTCATCATAGATGTATACATCACACATACATATGTGTGTTCTGGGTCATGACATGAAATATATTTCTGGATGCCAAGGACAAAGTATTGGAAAATCACTGCTTTGGGGTACAGTTTTTCTTTCCATTCTTGAACACTGACAACTCCTGTCTCCAGGAATTCTGACCAAAGTTTCAACTAAGAGGCAGTGGTAGGAGAGAACACAGGATGCAAACAAGAGAAACAAATACCTAGAGGGCTACAACCACTAAGAGATTGTGAGTGGAGGGATGGGGAGAGGCTTTTGTTGTTTTTACAACATCACTGTTACCAAAATTGTTATGATTTTTCCTGAAAAGTTGAAGTAGGAGGCATGTCTCCAACTCTACTCCCAACACTGCAGGGTTTCAAGAAGCAGGCAGCTGTGTGCCCAACGCAGGCAACACTGACTGCTATGGGGATGCCAGGGCCCTCATCCTGTGGTCCCCACACTCAATGAAGGGCTTTAACTCAGTGTTAAAGGCTTTAACTGGAAACTGGGAATAATGATTTTTCCTGTGTCAGAAGGCAGCAATCAGGATTAAATGAGTTAATTTACGTAAAGGACTTAAAACACAGCCTGGAATTCAGTCAATGCTATAAAAGGGTTAACTGTCATTATCATTTTAATTTAATATAAGTTTAGGTGGCAAACTCAAAGATTTCATATTGCACAGCCATTAAAAATATTTATGAGAATTTAATGCTTACTGTACAATGCTGAGGAGAAAAACCAAGAAGTAAATCTGTTTAACAGGATACAATATCAAATATGTTTTAAACTTATAAACAGTACAACAATCTCAAATATGTTTTAAAAGAGCTCACAAAAACATGAGAAGAAAATTTACTAAAATGTTAACAGCAGTTGATTTGGGGGTGAGGCCTTAGATAAATTTCTCTTTTGTACATTTTCTTCAACTTTCCAATTTTTTCTACAATTAGTATGTGTTTTCATAATCAGAAAAAAATATCCTATACTTCAAAGACTCTGACTCAAAGCTAAAATGGCTTTCATCTTGAAACGTGCCATTTTGCAAAGCAGGCAGTAAAACTGAATGTAGGAATGAGAAGAACAACATGTTCCATTTGCATAGTCGTATAGAGGAGTCGACCACTTAGCAGGAATATGGTGTTTCTGACTTTCTGATCTTTCTATGACACCTCACAACTGCTGACAGTGGGGAATTCACCACTTTTGATTTACTTCCAACCCCAGGAGGGCAGAGTATCAGATTACCTTAAACAACCCAGGACCCAGACACACCAACTCAGATCCTCCTGCCCACACCTCAGTCACGAAGGACCAGTAACAGTACAGGCAAACGTTTGTAAGTCCTTTCTACGTGCCAAGCACTGAGTTTCCAACAACATCTCATTTAATCTTCCCAATAACTCTGTGATTTAGGTGTTGTCATTGTCCCATTTTAAGGATCAGGAAACTGAGAATTTAAAAAGTTAAGTAACTTTATAATTCCATCTTTACGCTCCCCTTCAGAGCAAAGTTCCTTTAAAGAGTGTCTACACTTGCTGCCTCCAATTTTCTCCTCTCATCCTTTCTTTAGCCCATTCCGATCAGGTTTTCACTCCCACCATTCCATCAAGACAGCTCTTGTCACGGTCACCAATGGCTTCCACGTTGCCAAAGCCAATGGTAAAATCTTGTTCTTTATTTTACTTGCCTTGTCAGCATCTTTTGATACCACTCCCTTCTGGTTGAAACACTATCTTCACTCGGCCTCTAAGACTCCCCACTGTCTCTTCTCTTCTACTTCTCTGACTGTTATTCTCAGTGTATTTTATTCATTCCTCTTCATCCTCCTCATCCTGCCCTCTAAACGTTGGTTTCCCCCACAGCTAAGTCCCTGGATGTCTTCTCCATCTCCACTCCCTCCCCTGTCATTTCATCCAGACTCACAGCTTTAAACATTATCCTTACACTGATTACCCCAAAATTTATATTTTCAGGCTGACTGCTCCCCTGAATTCTAGGTTCACATATCCAACTGCCTATTAAATAACTCCACCTGAATATCTACTAGACATCTTAAACTTCATGTCTCACACGTGAACTCTTGTAGCCCCCCATACACACACACACACACACACACACACACACACGCACACACACCCTCCTCTTCCAATAGTTTCCCCATCTCAGTAGATGACAGCTGTACCCTTCCAGTGGCTCAGCCCAGACATCTGAGTCATCCTTGTCTCCTCTACTTCTCACAAATTCATGAGCAAATCCTGTTCACTCTACCTTCAAAATATGTCTAAAATCCAACGCTTCTCCCACCTTCCTTGTTGCTGCTTGGTTCAAGCCACCAGCACCTCCCACCTGGAGGACTGCAATGGCCTCCTACCTGGTCTCCCTATTTACACTCTTATTCCCTACACACCAGCCAGGGGCATCCTTTAAGATGGCTCCCACTTCATTCAAAGTCAAAGCCAAAGTCTTCACAGCAGCCTACCAGCTCTGCATGATCTAGCCCCACTACCTGTCTGATCTATTCCCTACCACTCTGCTCCAGCCACACTGCTTCCTTGCTACTCCCCAAACAGACCAGCATGCTCCTGCCCCAGGGCCTTTGCATATGCAGTTCCCTGTGCCTAGAATAGACTCTTCTCTCACAATTCCACTGGGGTCACTTCCTCACTTCCTTTGGGTCTCAGTCCAAATGTCCCCTTATCAGTAAGGCCTTCTCTAATCACTGTGTAAAATAGCAACACCCCCTACAGACTCCCTGTCCCCCTCACCCACGTGATTCTTTTCCATGTGATTCCTCATTCACCTGACATTCTGCAGTGTACTGAACATATTGCTATACCGCTGTTTTGATTGTCCCTCTCTGTTCCTTACTACTACCCACACTGGAATGCAGAGATTTCCTCCATTTTGATCAGTGCTATATCCCCAGACCTAGAACAGTGCTTGGCCCAGATTCAATAAATGTTTATTGAACAAACAAATAAGCCTGTTCAAGGCCATCTGGCTAATAAATCCTGGTGACAGGTTTAAGACCTAGACCTCGTGTCTCCAGAGCCCACACACCTCCCATCTACATTCTCCTGCCTCTGGTTGCCAAGACATGTTGCCTGACAACCTTGCAAAGTCAGAAATATCCAACTAGCATGCAGCCAAGGAGGAAGCTGGTGTGAGCCCCCATGTGAGCCCTAAGGGGACTAAATATTTGAAATAAGAGGTTTGTACTGAGAAATTGAGGACATATGATCATGACACGAATACCACGTATCCTGTAGCACAGCTCGGATGAGTTCAGTGCTGAGAGAGTGGTCAGGGAGCTGATCACCATGTAGACCATACTACACACAAAGCCCCAACAAGCACGTAACAAGGATTGCGCTTGATCTCAAGAAGACTCAAAACACACTGCAGACAGGCCAGCACAAATCCATCTTTACCACTGGAGAAATAGCACAAGACCCTGATCCTACCAACAGAGCTCTAGCCTCCACTCATCTTTCATAGACAGCTTGGACAGTCACCCCCACTCTCTGCTCATTTCAATAATGATCCCCCAGGCAGGATGGCATGGGGTACTTTCACCACATTATGGCCCAAATCCTTCGTTTTAATTGGTCCCAGAGATTTCCACTTTTAGAGCTTCCTTCACTTACTTGGTTTAAAAAGTCAATCTCTGCACGATCCAATAGGAGCCCAGAGAATAGGTAAGATAGTGAGACTAATATATAGCATTTGTGTTTAATGGTTAGATATTAACTGGCTTTTTTAAAACTGCATAAATCGGTGCATTTTCAGTCTTTGTAATCTGTTCATTGTCAGTAATGGAGGAGCAGTACTCATCAACAGCTCTGCACCACACATCACCTTCTAAAACTATAGTCCGTTTATTCTTAAAAAATACAATAGATTTATCACGATTTGAAATATAGAAAGTCATTAAAATAATAATTAAAAACACAAGTATAAGCACAATAAAAGTTCCATGACAATAAACTACATTTTAATGTATATTAATTCTCCTAATGATTTACTCTATACATCTTACAGGGTCAAATCAATGTCTGTACAAAAAAAAAATTCAATTAAATTCTATTCACTGTATCTTTCAAGTGAGTCTATTGTTTGCTTTTGTTTCCTATCAGGCCATTTGTCAGTTGTTCTAGCCCAAGATTACAAATAGAAGGGACATGGCCCCATCAAGGTCAGGAGAAACATAGCCAAATCCTATCCAATCCACCTTCGCCATCTCCCGTTCATTTGTCATTGTGACCTTGCTCAAGGAGAGGAGAGGGAGGAGGCACCATTCCACCCCCCACTCTCCCTCTCCCACTGGAGGTACCAGCACACGTACCTCCACGCGAGAGCCTGCAGGAGACCCACCAAGAACAAGTCGCTTCTGCCAGAGGCGGCAGCCTAGAGCTCAGACCGTCCCTCTTGAAACTTCCTCTTGCCCAGAAACACAAACTCAGTCAGTCCTCCCGTTGTGACGTGCCCCTCGCCTACATAAGCAGAGGTAGAGAAAGCACATTTGCTCCCAGGCCCTTGCACCAAAGCAAGTTGCTTAGCAAGTCTCACCCTTGCCTGGGTGGTTTTTCTAGAATTAAAACACACAGAGAGACCATTTCTATGCTTGGAAAAAAACTGGCTGCTACTGACAGTTTGACGAGATGGAGAGATGGATGGATGGTGGAGGTGACTGAGGAAAGACTGTCCTCCCTGGCCCCTCCCTGCCACCAACAGAGAAGGGCACTGCCCAGTGATGCGTTGGAGCCAGCAGGAAGACAGGTCCTGGTTGGGTCCTGGGTCTGAGTTGACCGCTCCCTTTGTTGTCACCGCTAGATGTCACTAGGCGTAACCTGCATGTTGGAGATGAGGCCAGGTTCTCAAAAGGCATTTGTTTTCGAATCTGGAAAGGAAAATGAATGACCCCAGAGCCTCACTCTACAGAAACGGGGAGCCAACAGTGACCACGAGGGGCACCAGTCACACACTCATTTTGCAAGCGAGTAAAAACACGTTAATGGATGAAAATTGATTTACTTTGGGACCCAGCAGGAATTAATGACGAAGCTGAAATAAAGCCAGAAGTGGCTACTTAACACCCATGCTCTTTCCTGAACATCTAGAAAGTCCAGCGCAACATACACAGCTCCTCTCTGGCTCCTTCTTGGCCGTGATGGCCGGGGCCCTGTGGAGCCTTCTGGAGATGGCCCCTCTCACACGAGCTGCCTTGATGCTGCTGTCTTCTTTTCTCTGACAGGAGAAAGGAGAGGTGCCTGCAGCCCCTGAAGCTTTCACACCCAGGGAGCTGGTGGTTCTAGGCATTTCCAGGCCCCGCCTCTCAGCAGAGCCCTCCCTCCTCCAGATAGCAAAGGGCACACCCTTCCAACGGAGCCCAATTTGACCCCAAGGATGAGCCAGCACTACTGGGGGAGGCCGAGGAAATGAGCAGGAAGTGGCAGAGGTTCTCATTAACCAAGACGGCCTCATGCTGGCACCAGGCTTTATGAGTCTCAGCTGCACAATGCTTTTTAAAATATAGGTGCAATTTGGGCCTGTGGTTAATACTGCTTAATTTTATTTTATACTGCGTAATATTTTCCCAAGCTGGGTCTAGAGCAAGTCTTGAGTCTCAGCTCCAGAGCTGGCTGGTGTGGCAAATTCACCTGGTCAGGCAGCCATGCACAAGTCTTGTGGCCACCCCGCCACTGGCCCCTCTCCCCACACAGCTCTCAAAGCCTACAGCCACACCAGAAGGCTGCTGACCAGGCTCCCCTGTGCTGCTCCCCCCAGCCCACCTTCCAAAGAGGGGAGACAGACCCAACGGTCTCTGAGACCAGATGGCCCAGAACAGTCCACTGACACAAGATCTATCCTGTTGGCTGACCCGTGATCCGATTCATTTGTTTATTCCTTCAACAACTATTTATTGCCTCCTTCCTCTGTGCCAGGCAGTCTGCATCCAATTTTTGGTCTGAAAAATATGATCACCGTGATTCCGATAGAAGGAGGTGGGGCTCCAAAAAAGAAATTGCAGAATCTAACCCTGGTTCCACTGCTTCCAAGCTGTGTGACCCTGGGCAAGCCACTTAACATCTCAGAGTCTCCTATTTCCCTCAGAGGGCCTCTGTGAGGTCTAGAGCTCCGGGAGGTCCTGTGTGGAAAGCCCTCTGCACAGAGCGTGGCACACAGCAGGTGCTCAATAAATGACGACTGCTCCATCATGGCTAATGACAGTCTTTCCCAGTTGCCTTTGGGTTAAGAGAACAGTCATAAAGTAAAGATATGTGAAGTGGGAAGACACTCGTAGGGCACCGGGAGCCTCGCAGGGTCAAGGGCGTGAAAGAAGGCCCGTGAGGGCAATGGGTATCTGAAACTGGCATTTTCTGCTTCACAGCTCTGCAGAGGCCAGGCCTGCTGTCAGCTCCAGCCATTCCTCCTGCTGCCCAGGGGGTCTCCAGCAAGAAAATGAAGACAGGGC